TGGTTGGGGAGGCTGAGAATCGATGGCGACGAGGCTGAAATCGATGGCGACTTTACCAAAACTGATACAAAGCATGAGGAAAGAAGCTCCTAAGCATTCGAATCCAGTTTTGCCATCTCTGAGACGAGCTTTCTCCCTCTATGACCAGATCAATCTCATTGACAATGTCCCCGAAGACCAGCTCCGATTCCAAGAGTAAATTCAATTCCAAAACATATCTGATTTCTATAGGTTTTTGGAGTTTTTTGATTCATTGATCTTGTGTGTGTGCAGGTTTAACGAGACGAGTTTCACGGTGAATGGAGTGAAATACGAAGGGAGCTTGCTCTGTGTTGGGAACTTGCTTATGTCGTGGACCCCTCGTCAATTCTCCGACATCACTCCTGATAGGTAGGTCTCGTCTTCTCTCTAATTAGGCAAAAAGGTTGAGACTTTAAGCTGTTATGTAGATAGATAGATACTTAAGTCATTGTTTCTCTTGTCTTAGATTCTAACCAATGTTATGTTTAAAGTTATGTGCTTTTTGATGTTCATTGTCATCGAATGGTTTCAAAAGCTCGATTTTTGATGTGTTTTATCAAACATTTGGGTATATGTTTGAGTGAAAGTTTGAGACTTTAAGCTTATGCAGATACTTGGTTCATTGTTCCTCACTCTTGGATTCTAACCAAGGTTATGCCACAAGCTGATGTCTATTTTTTTGTATGACTGTTTTGAGTGTAAGTTATGTTATGCCAAAAGCTGATGTTCATTGTCGTCAAAAGGTTTTTTTTTTTTTTATGCGTTTGATCAAATATTCGCTACGTGTTTGTCTTTGATTGGTATTCTATGTTGCTGCTATTGCTCGTTGTCTGTATAGTTTATGAATAAAATGCTTTCCATAAATCAGTTGCTAAAACGTCTCTACGTTTCTCTTTCCATGGATGCAGCTTGTCTATCTTCCAGACAATTCGACCCATTCCAGGTATTAATAGTACATCATATTTGTTTCGTCGTCACTTGAACAACTAGATTTGTGAAAACTTTACAGCACATATGAAAAGAGAAAAAAGTAGCATTACCGTTGGTTGATCAGCTAGATTTGCATATTAACTAGCACCAACGTCAAGTCATGCTATATACTATGTTAAACTGTTTATTGTCCATGGCAGAGCTCTTAATTGTTGGTTGTGGGAGAAACATTCACCCGGTAACTCCCGAGGTCCGTCAGTTTGTCAAGTCTATTGGCATGAAGCTAGAAACCGTTGATTCTGTATGTTGTCTTTTTAACCCATCCATTACATTCTTTTGTAGTCTTATAACCCCATGTTGTCTTACATCTTTCTCTTAGTCCCACCCAAGCTTCATTCTTATATATGGATTTTACTTGATTCAGAGAAACGCTGCATCAACTTACAACATTCTGAATGAAGAAGGAAGGGTCGTTGCTGCTGCGTTGCTTCCTTTTGGTGTTACATCTTAAGGACTAGAAGAAAAGGCTACCAACTCGAGCTCGGTCTGTATAACATGTAGATGAATGTTGGGACTTTTATCTCTTGTGAAAATAAACCGAAATCCATCGGATTTTTTTCTTGCTTCACGAGCTTAATAACAGACGTTGTAACAAACATGAACCTTGTTATTGCAGTTCTCGCCTTTCAATATATCAGAGTTTTCTTGCTTGAAGGCTCTCGTGGCAATCAGTCTTACCACAATGAAAGAACCTACTTAAAGTATAAATGATGTTACTATGAGATTCTAACAATACTTATCCTTGAAAGAACATTTCGAAATATTTTAAAATTATTGTATTATTATTATTATGAAGCCAATTAAGTTACATATTCCACTTTAAAAGTTATGCAAATGACCAACCTATGACTTTTGTTACATATGGTACATACACAAGTATAGATAATAAGATCAAGCAACGGCGGCCAAAACACCAACAAATGGAGCAACGGTGGCGAGGCCAGGCTCAGAGTGCTGATAATCAGTCCTATCATCTCCATAAGCATCGTTCTCGTCAGGTCCTCCCACGATTGCTCCGTTTAGTACGTTAGGGTTTGGTGCAGGATTGTTATACCATTCGCTGAACCCTGCTTTGCAATCTACTGGTGTTTTGTTCTTTTTGATCGACACTATAGAGGCTCCTCTATGGTGTGGTTTCTTTGGATAATTGCTCCCGTATCCAACCATGTAACTCATGCTCTTAGGGTTTGATCCAAGTATATAGTTTGCCTATATAAACCAATATACAAGTTTGTTAGGCAAAGTCAAAACATTGGTACTATACTATACTATATATACCTGGTCACGAGCTACGTTAAGAAGATCAGAGGCTTGAAGGTTTCCACCGGGACATTTGATGGATGCATCGGCGGATTTAAGATATTTAGAATAAACAGAGAGGACCAAGGAAGCAGAGGTGGTGTACTGTAGGTTAGCCCACGGCAAGAACCAAAGCAAACCTCCTTGAGTTTTCTTAACGTTATTAGATCCCTTTTGAGCACAGTTGCAAATAAACTGCTCAGCCATACTCTTGTACTCATCCATCTTGTTGATCTTTACTTTCCCTTCAAGTGCAAGCTGCAAAAAAAAAAAGTTTTTAAGTTTTTGTTTGTTTCTTGACATACACGTTAGTGAAAAATTTATAACCTACCTTGGCGACCAAGACTTGTGCACCCAAGAACTTATCATCCCATGAAAAAACAGTCCTGGGACCACCGGTATTAGATGCTTCATTCAAATAGTTGAGATAAGTATCTTTTTTAGTGGCACGGTAGAGCCAAGCCGCGGCCCATAGTAACTCATCTTGGTAACCGCTGCTCGAGTAGAAGGCACCAGCGTTAGAGATGGAGTTTTGGTAGTCGCCAGGGTGAGCCACGGCGAAATCAAATAGTTGTTTCGCGTGAACGATGAGTTTTTCGGCGTAGTCTTTGTTATATGGCGCAAAGGCTATAGAAGCTGCAGCCATAGCTGCAGCTGTCTCGCCTGCAAGGTCAGCGCCTGGATGCTGAGCATCAATGCGGTAAGAAGGACGCGAAGTTGTCATGTCCTCTGGTCTCATCCAACATGCATGGTCCGAGTTGCCGTCTCCCACTTGTCCGTAGAGAACATTGGGCTCTGGGTGGGCTTTGATGAGATAGTCAGTGGCCCATTTGATAGCCGTTAGGAGGTTTTGGTGCTCTTTATTAGCCTTGAGCTGTGATGCCATCTCTATGCTGCTCCATGCTAGCATTGTCGTCGTGAACGCCAATGGCAATCCAAACTTCGTGTTGTCTCCGGCGTCATAGTATCCCCCGGTGAGGTCAACCTGTTTTTTTTAACAGTTAACACTTATGACATGTTTTACGAAATGAATATTCCCTCCATTCCCCAAAAAAACTAAACATTTTTTGCAATACTTTTTATATTTTAAAATCTTTCTTTTGAAATGCATGGAATATTATACCATGGCCGTCTCAAGTTAGAATAAATTGTGTTCATAAAAAATACGAACACTACATTAAAAAGATATATTTTAGTCTTGATTTATATATTTTAAAATAATGAAAATTTTCTTTTAGAAATAACTTAAACTATGTATGACCATTGTGACGTATACTAAATAAAACAATTCTTGTGTTGATAAAGAAAAAGTAGATGGGTTTAAATTACATGGAAATCAGAACCGTCTCTAAGTGCAGAATCTCCTCTCCAGTCAACTCTTTGGTTCGACGGCAATTTTCCTGAACGTTGAGCTTCGAAATACAAAATAGACTTTGTGAGAGCTTCTCCATACTTGCTAGAGATAGCCCCATGAGTCATGGACACTAACAATAACACAATGAAAAGACTCCTTGTCCATAAGCATTGTGAAGACATCGTTTTCTATTTAATCTTATGATCAAGTGTACAACTTTTACTTGTGTTGAGACATCGTATATTCAACTATTTATAGGGAGTTACAAGATGACCCTATGGCTGATTAGTGATCACTGATTACAATTTTAATTAGCATAAATCTCATAATATCAGATACCTTCCAATAGATGTAGATAAGGGTGAACTTTTGTATTAAAAGGTGACAAGGATCAAAAACACTATTAGGGTCATTTTTGAATATATGGTAAAAAAAATATATATATTTGTTAACTTTCATGTGGGTCATTTGATATTATCTTAAAGATTATGTTGAGTGAAAAGTTCAAAAATTGAATCACTATAATAAGCATTCTGGATAATGACATTTGATAATACAGATTATTTGATGTTAAAGCATTAACTAGTTGATAAGAGTGAAATGAGAATCACTAACACCACAAATCACATTCTCAAGATTTTTGATATTTTAATATTATCTTAGTTATTTTAAATTAATGCTTTGTTTATGAATTTAGTAATTTATTTTACTTCTTATATAATTTTTTTTCTATAAATAGAGATTAAATTTATTTAATTTGAACAATAAAAATAATTGTCACTAATAAAATAAGATCTTAATTTTTATTAATAAAATCTGATTAGATTTATTTAATTTGAACAATAAAAATAATTGTCACTACTAAAATAAGATCTTAACTTTTATTAATAAAATCTTTATAGTAGATAAAAATCAAATATGTGTTGAATCATTATCTGAAAGAAAAAAAATGATAATGTGACGTGTTAAACATTGAAAAAAACAGGATGTTAAACCTTAAATCATTGTGAATAGTGAGAAATTCCGTAAAAAAATGTTTTTTTTCTCTGGAGGACATTAGGAAAACATGTGTAAGCAGCCGAAGAAGATAACAATTTTTCTTTTTTTTTTTTTTAAGAAGATAACAATTTCAAGTATCACTAAACCTAAAACCAGGAAAAAGATGAATACGACCTCTAAAACTATATATATATATAGAAAAATAAATATGGTTGTAAAGGCCATGTGTTTAGATGAAAATCTAGATTAAAAGCATATCATGGACCAAAAGCTCATAATTTCTTAGTTAACAGCCAATAATAATGTCTTGTCTATGTCTATGAAGAAGAGTCGCGCTCTGATTTTATTTTTTGGTAGGTTTAAATATAATCAGTATGTACGAACTTCATAATTTGGCAACAATATAGTTGTCATTGAAATAGTAGTACATCACACTGGAGTTCACACCTATGGAGTTCATGGGTTTCTTCCTAACATTATTAATATTAAGTAAGAGGTGGTGAATGTTAAATTTGAGTTTATTATTAATTTCTAATTCAAATCCAAATAAAGGATTGATCCTAGCATTTTATATATTAGTTATGTCTCAGTTTGATTTTTAATGTGACAGTTTATATTTTTACATTCTTTTTTCAGATGATGGTTCTTATAACTATATCTCTATAAGATCTTAGTCTAGGATTCAGTTCGATCAGTCTTCCAAACCATTTGGGTCAGATCAGTTGAAGATTGCCCGTTCGAGAATGGATTGATTTTCATTCAGTTGGACGGTAAATGGATTGATCTAAATCTCTTATATATTAGTTAAGTTTTTTTTTTTGTATTTTCCAAAGTGGAATATTGATCTCAAACCATGAATGTGTAAACAACGCTAACCGAACTAAAATCAAAGTATTTTGCATACAGTATATCTAAAAAACACAGTAGAGCTCAAATCAGTTCAATATTCGTTAGTAACTTATGTTTGATCACTATGAACTGTGTATAGAGATATAAAGTTAAAGTTTATTAACTCTAAATTAATTAAAAGTATGCCATAATATAAACTAAATATATATAAATTTTACGTATATATCATCATATATGAGTATATTTCTTATATTATCAAACAAATTGTTTCTTTGTACTTTGGTTAATTCTTCAAAAAAGTAGTTTGCGAAATCAAAGTTTATACATGTTTTACACAAGAAAAAAAAGAAAAATCAAACCTTGTCTTGTCATAAAAGACAAATTTCCTGGTAATAGTGACAACGTCGCTATCCTGCTATTTCGTGTGGAGACAACTTAAGCGATGACTAAAGGGTCTGTTATAAATGGATAACTGAAGGAGAGGTTCACAATAAGCTAATCTCACAAGTCAAAACTACGAAGTTAGAGTAGTTGACAGAAATGTTCCTAAAAGTAATTCATAAACTATATGCAAGATAAAAATAAATCTAAAAGTATGCAAATTTATATAATCCGTCAAGAACTATGTAGACTTCTAGTGTATATATATTACAAAAGTACAAGAATTTCTAAATGATTAATTAGAATAGTGTAAGTTTAGTCTTATATAGATGATTTTTGTTCGCCAAACCTTATGTTTGAAAGACTAAAACCACTTGTCGGAGACTTGTAACAACTTTTATCGATGATGGCTTTAGGTATAGTGGGTAAGAAAATTGCAAAGTGGTGGAGAAAAATATCCGAGGAGTGTACTTATAATTTAATCTCATTTTATTATGGGAAATATTTAATACTGTGATTCTCTAACTTTACGACCTTACTTGAACACAAGACATTCTCTAACTTTATTCGGTGGATGTGTTATCAATCGAATCAATGAATGAATTTTCCATACATCAAAGTTGTTTGTTAATAAGAAAAAATAACAAACAATGCTTTGATATTTCCTACTGTATTACCTAATATATTTGTATTATTCCAAAATTTGGAATCTCTATTTAAATTATTTTTAGTTTTTTTTTTCTTTTCCATATTCTATTAGTTTGAAAGGCTGATATTTATGATGT